AAGATTCAAAATCTTAATTTTGGGCTTCTAATTATAGATCCTTTTAGATCTATAGAGTAATGTTTTACATATTTACGATTGTTTTAGCTCTAGATTATCCATAAGTATAATCAATATTACTTTCAATGTCCTCATTTTTTTATCTAGGTTACTTATTAAAATTTAAACCTATATAATCTATGTATGAATATGCCAAACTTATATCAAGAGAATTTTTATTTGTTCTAATAACAGGATCATTTTTAATTTATAGTTTTGAATTTGATTAAAATTAACTGTTACTTTATGGATGGATTCATATTGCACTTTTTTCTTTAATGTTAATATCAAACTTGATCATCGATATAATTGAATGCATTAATAAAGCTTGGAAAAGTTATAAAAGAAAGCAAGAGTTAAAAAAAATAAGAGAAATAAAAATATTTTATGACAATCCACTTCAAAATTTTGTAAAAGACAACATAAATAAGCAAAAATGAGATATGTCATAAAAATATAATAATTATAATTTTTTCTAAATATCTAAACAATTCATACTATTTATATAAATCAATTTATTATTGTATGAAGAGTTTTATTTTTAAGTATGCTCTCGAATAATGTATTCAAATAGTTAGATTCTTAGCTATCTATCCTTAACTTCTAACTGATTAGAATATTTTCAGTCAATCATATCCTTTCATGTAAAGAATAAATTTACTAATTCTCACTTTGATTCATTCAAAGTAAATCTCAATCATGAGCCATAAGTCTTTCTTTTGAGATGCATTTATTATCTTTTCATCATAAATAAGAATCTATATAAAAATATTCAAATATATATTTTAATATTAATTCATGAACTCTTTCTTCTACCTCATAATAAAGAAAAATAAAAAAATACATGTAATTTCCTTACAATAACTTAAGAATAAATTTTGTTTGCATAGCATTCTTTCGGTACATAATGTAGAAAAGTTTAATTGATAACAGTGTAATTATTCCATATTATTGTTATTAGTATAACATATAAATTAATAAATTTGTTTTGATAATTGAAGTGTTAGTGATGAGTACAAAAAAAATATACTATTTAGAATATTGTCTTACTTATATTTATTTGGAAAGTCAATTTTCACCTAAACTCTATTGAAATTCCAATGTATTAACTAATAAGATGGCATAAATCCCAAATAAATTTTCAGATAAATGTCGAATTATATTTTGTCAGAAGACCATCTATAAGATAGTTTTGTCATAATAAACTTGACTTATTAGAATCGAATAGATGCTAGAATATGTAATGCAAAGTCATCTCAAAAATTATATTATTAATTTATATAGTTATTCCTTTTTAATTCCCATATAATCCATATTAGGCATTACAATAATTTATGAAAAGATTCAATCAACAACCCAAAAATCACAGTACCTTTTTTCGACGCTTTAACTCATTAAACTCATGAGAAAGCTTAGTTACAGTCAGACTTGATTTTAAAACCTTAATGACATTAATTAAGAATCATTACAAAATGAAAGAAAAAAAAATTTTAATTTGGATTAGAAAATGTCGATTTAGATACCATCTGGATCGATTAAAAAGTTGGAATTTAATAATGATCTAAATTCTCTTCGCTCTGATAGGATTTTATAATACTAAATGAATCAGAATCAGTAATTAACTTGGGTCTCCATCATACTTCCTCAAAAATGAAAAATTTGCTAAATTTAGAAGGGAGAAAGCCTCTTTAAAAAAAAGAATTCATAGTATTCAAGTTCTTAAAAATTAAAATATAAATTCTTTAGTCCTTTGTCCTAGTATTACAAAATATTTTACATCAAGTTTCTAATAGTAATATACTGTGGATTTATTTTGTTAAACGTGTAAGTTCCAATAAATGATATTAATGTAGCTACTTCAATTTCTTCTGTAATCTATTAATGATTGGCCTATCAACTAATTCATCGTTTCTATTCCCGAAAAACCACTTAGATTACTTTAATCAAGATCAAAGATGTGAGTCTTATTTTTGATGATCATTTGAGCTTATTGTAAGGCTTAGTTAGCAGTTTAGTGATGGATGAAAATGAAAGTCTTGATCTTTTAGAAACAAAAACACTCACATTCATCTCATTATTGATTTTGCCTTAATAAAAGGGGAAAATTTCTTTAGTGTGGTTTTGAAATAATGCTTTAGAAATCTAAATATGGATGTGGAGTTGGAATTTAATCCTATGATGAGAAACAATTAGACTGTATACCCATTATTTAATGATTGTTTGCAAAGATAGTTTTTTAGTCTCAATATAAGTAAAAAATCTTTCTTTTGAAAAGATATCATAGTTATAGTTATAAAATTTATTTAAAATCGAAGTAACCAGAAGATGAATGATGAAGAAAGCAAAATATTGAAATATTCTTTAGTTTGTTTAATAAAAAAATATTTGTAAAAAGAGGTTACTTGTTCTAGAACTCAGGAATTTATACATTTATCTTACGTTTATATGGGTTGAAGCAATGATGAAGAGTTGAAAGTCAATTCCCTGCCTTTTACGATATTTACTTAAGTTAAACAAAAAATATTCGGTATTAGTACCTAAGTTCTTTCTCTAAAAATTTAAGATTTAAGGAAATTTCTCATTTTCGATTATCAATAAACAATATTAGAATTTGATATTATTTCTATTTTAATAGCAATAGTCTGGATTCGTGAAAATTTAAAGTGATGTTTTGTGATTAATTTAGGGAAGAAACTATTGGGATAACTTGGCCATTGTCATGCTTGGTAATTCTGAAAGCCTTTCAAAATTGGTTAGAAGGGGTATGAGGTTTTTCTCCTTTCATTTTATTAAAATGATATCTTCCTAAGATTTTAATTTAAGCTCTGATGTATTAAAAAATATTACATCATTCCATAGAGACATAGTTGCCACGTTACTAATTGCATACTTTGGTTGAAATAAATTTATCAGATATCATATAAATTTTTTAACAGATTTAATTAAATTATATAAGTTTACCGCGTTGATCTAAGGAAGGTTTCATTAGTGATTATGATATTTTTGTATTTTAATTAAATATTAAATTCATTATTTTTGAAAATAAGAATTGCTCCTGTTACTAAAATGTATTTAGAATGGCTCTTATATTAGCAGATTAACTGAAATGATGAGATAATAGATACTTTTGAATAAATTTTAAAGTATGACTATATTTGAAGATATATGAATTAAAGAATAATTGATAATAAATACTTTTTCATACTATTGATCAAAATTCACTAAGCAAGCTTTCATTTATATAAATTCTGATTAAACAAGCGTTACTAAAAAATAACTTTCATTTTTTTTTAATTCAATTGAAAAGATGAATCTGCTCAGAAATACTTTTTAATTTCAAGTAGGCTCTAATATATGCTCTAAATAAATGTCAATGAAATTTGCTATTGGATAGAAATTAATTATTTTCTGAATGATTCAATAATTTTCAAGTAAACCATCACATATAATTAATGCTTTAATTTATGAGTAATAATTTTATATTGTATGTGGAAGAATATTGATGAAATAGAGGTGTATATACTCCAGGGTAATAACTTTTTTGGCTCCTTAATAAATTTATTATTGACCATAGCTTCCTCTATCTATATTTATAATGACATTATCAATTTATTCATTTATTGCATGTTGCAAAATCAAATCATTAACGAATCATTTAAATTAATCCTGTCATCTATTATAATCACTCAGATTTTCATCTAAAGCTAGGAAGCTACTTTTTTCCCTTTTACATAATCTATAATAGAAAATTTTAACTAATTATTCAATCCTTTATGTACTTTGAATAATTATTTATAAATTAATAATAAATTAAAAGAATTAAATAAAGAAATTTTTTCTTCATAATCATAACTAAAACATAATTAATATATTTTTATTTATTAAATTTAAAAAGGATTAAGAATTGATGATACAAAGAAATCGATTAAAATGTCAAACTATTTTATGACTTTATATTTACATATTCAAGGTGTACTCTTAATCATATTTTCATTTTTATTTGAATATTGCTTTTTTTATCATATAAATATTTTGTAATTTAATACTATTAAAAAGAGTATATATATATAAATAATAATGAATAATAAGAATAATGAATTTAATTATGAATCATTATTATTGATTTTATTTATCTTTTTAAATAATAAAATTGAATAATAAGATCTTAATCTTAAATTATGTGCATTTTATTAAAATAAATAATTGTATTATTTATATTAATTTATAATGATACTACTCATTCTATTAGTGTATAAAACTTATCAAACTCTCATTTATTAGTTTCATGCAAATTCTAACATAAGAGATGGTAATTTCTTATTATTTATATTTTAGAATGGCAAGATTATTATAATAATGTTAATTTTTATACTTGTGGAGGGATTCAATATTTTGGATAACCTAATAATAATGGAAATTCGATTGTAATTAGCAGAATATTTTTAGATCTAGAACCTCATTCTCATATAATTGTGGATGCACAATTTCTTACGTAATTATATTCTTTATTACAAAAGTATTGATAACAATTAATCACCTTATTTTTATATAGATTACTAATCAATAAGTTATTAATCAGTGATATAATCATCATAACTCTGTGGTAATACACAATTCGAAAATGTATATACTATTTCTATAACTCATTAACATAATAGAAGAACTGTTTGGATATATATTATTAACTATTATGCAGGAGGATTAATATCATTAAAATTAAGTATGATTAAATGTTAGTATGAATGTGCTGGATGCATAGAGAATTATCATACATTTTGTTTATAATGGAAACTGCATTAATATTCATTTAATTAGAAATTGATCACAAACTCTGATGGATGGACTTTTGTATCATCGTATAGTTATTTAACTTATTCCTTATGTGGAAATTGTTAATTTTTGTACTTTTAATAAATTAAATATTCTACTGAATTACCTCCTCATTAAGATGTATTAATAAGATTTTTTAAATTATGGAATACTATAATAATAGTAGACTATTTATATGGTAAATAAATAATTAGTTCTAATAATTAATAAATAGAAATATTAATAAGAAATCATGATGATCCTATATTATTATTAAATATTAAAACTTAATTAGCTTCAGATTATAGTTATATAAGAGATTTTGAAGTATTTTACACTTAAGCAGAAATAATGTTTAATAATTTAAATGAAGGTTGTTTATATTAAATTGATGATAAATGTCTAATTTGTTAAGAAGGTTGGATTTAAGATGAATTTCTAGAAAATTGTCATCCAATTTGTGGTGATGGAATTATTCAAGGTTAAGAACAATGTGATCATGGTAATCTAATATCAAATCATTCTTGTTATTTATGTTAATATTCATGTTAACAATTTTGTTCAATTTGTTAAATTGGAATTTGTTAATAATGTTAAGATGGATTTGTNTTTTTTCTTCATAATCATAACTAAAACATAATTAATATATTTTTATTTATTAAATTTAAAAAGGATTAAGAATTGATGATACAAAGAAATCGATTAAAATGTCAAACTATTTTATGACTTTATATTTACATATTCAAGGTGTACTCTTAATCATATTTTCATTTTTATTTGAATATTGCTTTTTTTATCATATAAATATTTTGTAATTTAATACTATTAAAAAGAGTATATATATATAAATAATAATGAATAATAAGAATAATGAATTTAATTATGAATCATTATTATTGATTTTATTTATCTTTTTAAATAATAAAATTGAATAATAAGATCTTAATCTTAAATTATGTGCATTTTATTAAAATAAATAATTGTATTATTTATATTAATTTATAATGATACTACTCATTCTATTAGTGTATAAAACTTATCAAACTCTCATTTATTAGTTTCATGCAAATTCTAACATTAGAGATGGTAATTTCTTATTATTTATATTTTAGAATGGCAAGATTATTATAGTAATGTTAATTTTTATACTTGTGGAGGGATTCAATATTTTGGATAACCTAATAATAATGGAAATTCGATTGTAATTAGCAGAATATTTTTAGATCTAGAACCTCATTCTCATATAATTGTGGATGCACAATTTCTTACGTAATTATATTCTTTATTACAAAAGTATTGATAACAATTAATCACCTTATTTTTATATAGATTAGTAATCAATAAGTTATTAATCAGTGATATCATCATAACTCTGTGGTAATACACAATTCGAAAAAGTATATACTATTTCTATAACTCATTAACATAATAGAAGAACTGTTTGGATATATATTATTAACTATTATGCAGGAGGATTAATATCATTAAAATTAAGTATGATTAAATGTTAGTATGAATGTGCTGGATGCATAGAGAATTATCATACATTTTGTTTATAATGGAAACTGCATTAATATTCATTTAATTAGAAATTGATCACAAACTCTGATGGATGGACTTTTGTATCATCGTATAGTTATTTAACTTATTCCTTATGTGGAAATTGTTAATTTTTGTACTTTTAATAAATTAAATATTCTACTGAATTACCTCCTCATTAAGATGTATTAATAAGATTTTTTAAATTATGGAATACTATAATAATAGTAGACTATTTATATGGTAAATAAATAATTAGTTCTAATAATTAATAAATAGAAATATTAATAAGAAATCATGATGATCCTATATTATTATTAAATATTAAAACTTAATTAGCTTCAGATTATAGTTATATAAGAGATTTTGAAGTATTTTACACTTAAGCAGAAATAATGTTTAATAATTTAAATGAAGGTTGTTTATATTAAATTGATGATAAATGTCTAATTTGTTAAGAAGGTTGGATTTAAGATGAATTTCTAGAAAATTGTCATCCAATTTGTGGTGATGGAATTATTCAAGGTTAAGAACAATGTGATCATGGTAATCTAATATCAAATCATTCTTGTTATTTATGTTAATATTCATGTTAACAATTTTGTTCAATTTGTTAAATTGGAATTTGTTAATAATGTTAAGATGGATTTGTTATTAATCCTAATTTTAATTGTGATCCTTTATGTGGGGATGGTAATTTAATTCCTTATTCAAATGAATAATGTGAACTGACAGTTAATGGGGTATTGGATGGTTGTTAGGAATGCAGATATATTTCAATTGAAAATTGTAAAATCAGCTACAATTCAATTTGCTTAAAGTGTGAAGTGGGATTTTATATATAAGAAAACTTATGTTTTCCATATTGCGGAGATAAATTAATTCTTGAATTATATGAGGATTGTGATGATGGTAATTTGCAACCTTACGATGGTTGTTTTAATTGCAAATTTCAATGCATTGAAGATTGCAACATATGTGAACGAGGACAATGCCTTTTGAAATGTGAAGTTGGATATGAATTTATTAATAATAGTTGTCTTTCTGTTTGTGGTGATCAAATAATTACAAAAGAAGAGGATTGCGATGATGGTAATTTGCAACCTCATGATGGTTGTTTTAATTGCAAGTATTCTTGCCCAAAAAATTGCTTTGATTGCTATTAAGGTACTTGTCTAGAGTGCAATTACCAATACTAATTAATTTCAAATTAATGTAAATAGCAATTAAATTGTGGAGATGGATTGCTTTAGGAAGAAGAGGATTGTGATGATGGAAATTATTAAGCAGCGGATGGATGCAAGGATTGCAGAATTGAATAAAATTGGATATGCACTACAAGAGATTCTCTAAGCTTATGCACATTTGTCAAAGCTCCAAACTTAGTAATTAATTATCTCAATATGACTTAAAATAAATAGTATATCAGCATCTAATTTAATTAAAAAGTAAAAATCTATACAGCTTAGCCCTTATCAGAAACCATAAATTTTGAAATATCAAATATAGATAAGAAGAACTGGAATAGCAGCTTATATATTATATAGGATGTCGGATCAGATGTAAGTTTTGGAGAATTTATTTTTTAAATAGAAATATAATAATTACTTGAATTTAGGCCAGTTTTGAAAATTAAAGTNTCATGTTAACAATTTTGTTCAATTTGTTAAATTGGAATTTGTTAATAATGTTAAGATGGATTTGTTATTAATCCTAATTTTAATTGTGATCCTTTATGTGGGGATGGTAATTTAATTCCTTATTCAAATGAATAATGTGAACTGACAGTTAATGGGGTATTGGATGGTTGTTAGGAATGCAGATATATTTCAATTGAAAATTGTAAAATCAGCTACAATTCAATTTGCTTAAAGTGTGAAGTGGGATTTTATATATAAGAAAACTTATGTTTTCCATATTGCGGAGATAAATTAATTCTTGAATTATATGAGGATTGTGATGATGGTAATTTGCAACCTTACGATGGTTGTTTTAATTGCAAATTTCAATGCATTGAAGATTGCAACATATGTGAACGAGGACAATGCCTTTTGAAATGTGAAGTTGGATATGAATTTATTAATAATAGTTGTCTTTCTGTTTGTGGTGATCAAATAATTACAAAAGAAGAGGATTGCGATGATGGTAATTTGCAACCTCATGATGGTTGTTTTAATTGCAAGTATTCTTGCCCAAAAAATTGCTTTGATTGCTATTAAGGTACTTGTCTAGAGTGCAATTACCAATACTAATTAATTTCAAATTAATGTAAATAGCAATTAAATTGTGGAGATGGATTGCTTTAGGAAGAAGAGGATTGTGATGATGGAAATTATTAAGCAGCGGATGGATGCAAGGATTGCAGAATTGAATAAAATTGGATATGCACTACAAGAGATTCTCTAAGCTTATGCACATTTGTCAAAGCTCCAAACTTAGTAATTAATTATCTCAATATGACTTAAAATAAATAGTATATCAGCATCTAATTTAATTAAAAAGTAAAAATCTATACAGCTTAGCCCTTATCAGAAACCATAAATTTTGAAATATCAAATATAGATAAGAAGAACTGGAATAGCAGCTTATATATTATATAGGATGTCGGATCAGATGTAAGTTTTGGAGAATTTATTTTTTAAATAGAAATATAATAATTACTTGAATTTAGGCCAGTTTTGAAAATTAAAGTAAATTAGACTGTTGCTAATATAGATGATGCTATTTTGGATAATGTTGAAAAATCAATAACATTGCAATATCCAAAATTTCTTGATGAAACACAGAAAGACTATTCTTAAAATTTGAAAAATCTTAATAAATATATAATTTATTGTTTGTCTGGAGTTACTGGTTTAAGTCTATTATTAGGAAATGGGGATTTGTTTGTTGAACTTATGGCAATTCTTTAATTCTAGCAATACTTAAGATACATTAACCTGTAATATCCACAAAATATAGAAATTTATTTTACTTTTAATGATATGATAACTATTCAACCTCTACTGGATTTTATTTATTTTCCTAAACTTTTAAAGTTTATTGATATATAGTAAAATTAAGCTTATTCTGATGGAAAATTTAATGTGTACAAATAAAGCTATAACTTGATCATCAATCTTTCATGCCAAATATTTTAATTGTTAATATTTTTAGTCTTTATTTTGTTATTTCAATGGATTAAAAAGGGTTTGTACAAATGGATATTTTGTTCTAGGTACTTTTACTATATGTCATCATTATCATTATACATAAATCCAAAAGTAATATTTAAGTTTAGTTAATCCTTTTATAATATTTGCATGGAATTGCTTAAATTAAAAAAATTTATGTCCTTTTAAGGATTATAAAAAGCCATATTTCTAAATGGTTGGGATATGATATTTAAAACATTATTGTATACACGAAACATTGAAACCAAAAATTACATAGATATTGTATAAATTATTATCGCAAGCATCATACTTATCCTTTATTTTACCATATTCCTATCTTTTTTCAAAGGTAATTCAAAGTTATCAAAGAAGAACAACTACTAAATGTTTGAAATACTAAGTTTTGTTAGATAATTTTTCTTTTTATTATTTTTGATTTATGTTTAAAGTTCCCAAATACTTTAATTAGGATTACTCCTTATGACAAGCATACTTTAAATTAGATTCCTATTTAATTATCGTTGTATTTTTAATTAAAAAAATTACATTGTTTAAATGGTGGTTGAGATATCAGTATTAACTTTTATCCTTAGTTCATTCTTATACATCTAAGAGTTTAATAAATATTTTAATGAAGAGAAAAAAATCTTATTGGGATGGATTCAAGCAATAATACTATCTAAAGGTATTATTATAGAATTAATTTGGATCAGCATAGATTTATTATAAAAAATTAAAAAGAATAATAGAAGATAATCATAAATTGTGAAAAATCCATTATTTTCATGATTATTATTAATAACAAGTGCATAAAATTATAAATTTATCAATTTATTCTTATTAATACATATATATATATATATCAAGATATTCAGACAAAATCTATTATTTGCATAATTAGATAGTATAATAGGAAGTATTTAAAATTATTGTGATTTGATTACAATTTTAAATAGATATTGATGATAGATGAATTTAATTGACTTTAAAAAAAATATATTTATCTAAGAATGTTAATATCTTTTGAGCAAAAAATTCATTTTTAAACTAGCATTAAATACTTTCAAATCAACCTCTAATACTAAATATTGCCCTATTTGAATAATTTTGATCATGAAAATTTTAAATGATCTTCATATATTTTCACAATAAGTATTTTTTTTAAATAAATGCCTCATTTTTCAAAATTTTTCATTATAGACATTCATAAATTTCTTAATTCTTAAAATGAGTTTATTTCAATAGTCTTGAACTTATTTGTATAAGATTATGATTTGAGATGATCAATAAATGGAATATATTATTATACATTATTTTAAACTAAATAAATGAGAAATTTAACTATAAAAAAAAAAGTGTGATAATAGAATGAACATAAATTTTTCAGCTTTTTATTTCAGTTGTTTGGTTTGATTAATAAAATTTTATAATTTCAAGAAACATAAGGAGCCTTTACTTAAATATAATTACAAGTACCCACTTTAGTTAAAAAAGAAAGGATTTCTTACTTTAATTATTTGATGATTTTAACCATATATCTCATTCAAAGAAGCTAACACGGCTATTGGATCCATTGAGTCTCTTCCACAGTCTTAATATCGAAAAATTATTATTTAATTGATATATAAAGTGGGCTGTAATTACTTTTGAAAATCACTTTGGGCAAGTGAATCAGCCCTGATAAAAAGTGGCTTTTTATTTACTCTATTTGTAAATTAAAATTTGGTTTTAGAGTGAGAAAGGTAGATTCTATGAAAGAAATAATAAAATTTCATATCAAATTACCTACACAAAACTTTAAAACATAAATTTTGAATATTTTTATAAAATGTAATTTATATCGATAATTTATATAAAAACCCAAGATATTATTCAATATGAATATGAACTAAAAAAAGTACAATAATCATATATTTTAATATTAAACTATACAATCTAACTTTTAATTATAATATCATTTTTCTTTATCATACCTTGGATGTCCCATCTTGTTTCAAATTATTTTTATTTCCATTTATTTATCTTAAAATTTTATTTAAATATAAAGTACAAAAATTCAGTAATTTTACTAATTTAAGTGATAGAGTTAATTTTTTAAACTGCATTTGGTCGACGAAAAAATATTAATTAGTAAAGTTTAAAATTATTCATTAAGAACCATCATATTAATTATTTAAATAGATAGTATAGATTAGTTAATTAGTTTAAATATTGCAATTATAAGTATGGGAGTATGAATTATTAAAAGATTCATTTCCATTTTGATAATTACTTTCAATTATTTCACTAAATTAATAGATATAAGATATTTTAAATGTTAGTAAGTGAGTAATTTTCTCAAAAAATAAAGTGTATATAAAATTTGAATTAAAGTTTTATTGAATCAGAATAAGTAATCAATTTAAAGTAACGAAGCCTTCTATCAAAATGGAAGTTGTTTTCTATCATCTTATATATTTGTTAATTGAAAAGTTATCCAATAAGATTCGATTTTTATATGACTAAAATTCTCTCTAAAATTAAATAAAATCTATACATTTAGGGAATTTATAAGTTATAGTTTATTAATCTTCTATCCCCTCAAATGAATAATATAAATTACCTGATTAGTAAATAAGTTGTTTAATAATGAAAAAATCCATAAATATATTTAATTTAATGAACCTTATTGTCAATTAAATTATGGAATTCTATGCTGAGATTCTTTGGAGTTATCTGTTATCTAAAGAAATCTCTTATACTTTATTTAAATAGAATGGACCAGATATATCAAAGCTACTTAGAATTAAATTAATAAACTCAGCATTATGGGGTTAAAGTTCAAATTTGATTTTAGGTTATACAAAAATTTGTATTAAATTTACTTATTATTTAAATGCATTAATTATCTATTGCAAAAAATTAAATCTCAACCTCATAAATTTTAAATAAAGAACACTTAATGGTACATACTTGTTGTATTAATACTTGAGATATCTAAATAAATTTTCATGAAGAGTAATAAGGTCAAGCAATTTAAAAAAAAGTGATTTTTGGAATGATTAGAATCAAATAAGAATGTCACATTTGAATTTTCAATATATTATGATAATTTTTATCTATTTTTAAAAAGCTAAACAAAATTAAAGTTATGTACTAATTATAAAATTAATAAAGTAAAGTAAACTCATAATTATTTTGACTAGTTTCTAATAGAGGAACTAAAAGAGATACAATTCTTAGGAAATTTTAAGAAAAATAATTCTTCAATTAATACCATTATCATAGTTTATTTACCAAAATTTAATATTACTAGAAAGATTTTATTTAGTTCTGATTATAATAGCTCATATTTACTTACTTTACTACCTAAAACATATTTGATCTTATAATTAAAAAAAATTAGATAGAAAGAGTTGATGACTAAATATTCTCAAATAAACTTAAGATATTTATCAAGAAATTTATACAAAATTAATATTTATTTTACCAGAAGTCAAAGTCTTGTAAGCTCTAATATTGATTGAAGAAAATTCATTTATTTTAGTTTCCAAAAACAATTTATTACAAGAGATTAAAGAGAGAACTGAAATTTATTCATTTAAATATTTTATATGATACATTACATTAATTGTTTTGATAATGAAAATGTATTTTTTATATTTTCAAAATTAATGAACTAAATAAATAATATAAATTTATTAGTAAAAAAGATATGATGATAAAGTTTTTTTATATTTGTCTAGTATTAATAATAATCTTTAAAGGATTATAATTGATTGTAAAGTTTTGAATTTTTATTTGAAGGCAATATTTTTCCACAAAGAGTACAAAGAGTGATTTATAATGGGTATTTCTAATAAAAATGTGTTAATAATAATAATTAAATCATTTTTTAAATCATTAAAATTTATCATAAGCTTCAACTTTTATCACTTATAACCCTCCATCTTTTGTATTGCCTGCAGTATTATATATTCTCAAGGATTAAACTAGTTAATTTGGAAATTTAATTGTAACTATGCTTTATGCTTGATTACTATCATAAATTTTTGTTTCAGTATTTTCTAATTTTATAAACACTTTTATATTATAAAATCTATAATCTCCATTCCATAACCAGATTTTTACAGTATTTAATTCATATTTTTGTAGCAAATCTACTTTTAGAGAATATCCTATAGAGCAAAATAAGAAACCAATTTCTCCATCTACTTTATAAATTGCATTTCTTAAAAAATTTCCAACAATACTTCCACCAAACCAAATCACATTTTTTGATTAGATTAAATTTCCCTAATTTTAATTTAATACATTTTAATAATTCCCTCTAATAATTGATCGTTAAATTTTTTCATTTATGCTTGAGCAATTCTAATGAGTTATTTAAATATAGGCAATAGTAAATAAAATAATTAGGGTAAAAGAAGTCTTTACAAACATTAATTGATTAATTTAATTATTATTAATATGCTATAAATTCAAATCAAAATCATTTTTATAATAGATTTCATAGTATTTTTTCATTTTTTCTTCCTTTCCATTTATAAAAATAAATTCTTTAGAGTAGAAGAAGTAGGGAATGAATACTTTGTTACAATCTGTTGAAAAGCTATTTTTAAAATAATCAAATTAAACTGTAAATCATAAAAAATGGTGAAACCAGAATATGAAATTTTTCTCTTGCATCTTATTCTATGATTTTAAATTAATTCTTGAGCTTATAAAATAAGCTAGCATGCAATTTTAACTCCTATGCTAATATACTAGAATATACAAATGAAAATTAACCTTGTATTATTAAATAATAAAAATTTCTATTGAAAAAGATTAGATTTCATATTTTGTGCTGATAAGTTTACAAAATTTAGAGAAATATATTTAAATGTTATTTCGATTAATAAATACTGATCATTTAAGTGAAGTATTTTCATTAAGGTTCAAATAAAAATGAGAATAAAATTATTTTTTTTAACGATAAATCAATAATTACAAGTCTGTTTATTATTTAAAAGATTCAACAAAACCAACTTACAATAGAATTTTATTAATGATTAATATATTCTAACTTTGATTTCAAGACATGTAATTATATGAGCTGATATTAATATTCAATAGTATAGTAAAAATTTAAATTATCCTTTATTATGTGGTTTATGTGATGATAGTTGGTACTTTCCAAAATAATTCAAAAAATTAAATCACTTCTAGTGAATAAGAATGGAAAGATTGTTAATGTAATGAGGATGAAAGACAATGCTGAATTTCGAAGTTGTGATACTTAAGGGTAATAATCGAAGATGGAAACTATTTTATTACTTGGAATATTGGTTCAAGAATAATCCAAATTAGTATATGAAAGGAAAAATGATTATTCTTTACAAGCCTTAGGTATTTTATTTAAATGCTAATATTTTGATTTTTTTTAATTAAGATAAAATTTAATATCGAGCATAAAGTCGATAAATAAAAAAAAAATTGCTGTTGCCTTTTTAATGAAATAATTTAATTGTTATCCGGTGCTTATTATTGAGAATTTTTTTATTAAGGACTTCAAGAGTAAGCAAAAATTATTAGTATTGATAACACCATTCCAGGTTAATGAAAATTTAATTAAAAGTTGGAGTGAACTAAATATTCAAGTTATAAGCTCATTAGAGTAAGTAATAACTGATGGGGAATTACCTAGTACTGTATTTGGAGATATGGATCAGAATCCTGTCCAACTTGCGAAGAACAATTTCTAGCTTAAGGTTATGCCAAATATGATTGGATTTAAGATATCAGTAGTATTCATAATTATAATAATTTTTTTATTTCTAATTGATAATATAATTCATTTAAATAACAACTTAATTTTCTATTTTTATATTATACATAAAATCTTTGTACATAAGGAATTGACTATGAAATTATAATTGCTATTAACATTTTTAGTTTTGACACATTCATAATAGCCTTTGAGCCGAGGAGGGTTTTCTTTTTATGAAACCTTCCTGAATATGACTAAAATTCCCTGAATAGTAAAAAGAAAAATATACCTTTGTTATTTAATTTTGAAGTCTTTATTATAAATAAGTTGGAGATTGTATTTAAATTTTTAATAAAATAAGCAATTTTATTTAATTTCAAAAATGTATTAAATCATTAATAAAATAAATTCTTGTCTATTTTTATTATTAATTAAAGTTGTAAAGATCTCTTAATAATAATCTTCATAAAATTGATACTAAATGTGTATTAAATAATGATAGAATGTACTTTTATACACCTAGAATATTTTTGTTTTATAAATATATTTTACTCAATATATTAATTGTTGATCATACAAATCTCTAATAATTAGAATAAGCTTATTTTAATTCTACTTTGGTATGACTCAATCATTTCAAAAGTTTTTTTGAATGACTTAAATCTAATGCTTCAGTATTTAAATTTGAATTTTCTAAAAGCAAAATTTCTTTATGGTACAAAGTGACTTTTAATAAATAATATCTTTTTTTCCCCTAATTCTGCTGAACTAAATATAAAATAAGTTGATCTTTAACTGTTTAGTTTCCTTGATATTTTTGAACATTTGAAACCTAATATAAAGTAATGTTAGTATATAATTCATAAATTGTAAGGGTTTAAGCTTAATTAAATTCTTTGAGCAGAAAATATTTAATTTATATTGGTTTAATTGATCACTATTCTATCGAAAGGTCTAAAATTATCTTTTATCTCAATAATAAAAACTTCAGAATATAGAATATACTTTGTTTGATTTGAGAGGAAAATCTAAAAAATTCAATATTTATTCAATAAGTTATAAAAACATACTAACTGGGTCTAATTTACTAATCCTAAGCAGCATACGAATTTTATAGGTATAGGTTTTTAACATTATTAAAATACATTTAAATAAAAATGATATATTATATAATCACCTCTATTTATAATAAATAAATTTCTCCTTCACGTACTTAACTATTTATATTTTTAGAATTATACCATATAAATTAGAATAATTAAGTCTAATATCCAATTTATTGCATCAGTTCCTAGTTTATTATTTAAACATATCTCAAAATAAATGTGTATATAGAACACATTATAAAATTTATATTATATTTATTGTTTTAATATTTCTTTCAGTTTTTAATATCAAGTTTATCAATATAATTTGTTTGAGTTAAAATAAAATATATTGTGTTTTTTATCAAATTATTAAAAGCTTATGGTTTTCATAATTTAAAAGTGTTTTTCTTTACAATCAATTAATAATATAAGACAAACAAAATATAGGTATTTATGTTTAAGATTATTATTAAAAAGAGAGATGTGATTAGAAAGAAATATGTATAATGGAAAGTCTTACAAGTAAATTGCTTTACAATATTTAGAATACGTTGTTTTCCTTTTTAATTCTAAATTATATTATTTTGATCAGAAATGAATCTTTAGTTTATGTTCTTTATGACTGATTATAACACTTTAATGTAGGTATGTAGAAGGAATCATAAGAAATTTAACAAAACGTTAATAGAATTGATTTGAATATGAAATAAAATGATATATTCCAACCAGAAATAAATTGATATAAGTAAATTTTGTTCTATTAGTAAAGTTATAATTTAAAATAGATTGAAATTTATAATAAATTTTTGTTTTAATATTCTTCTAACTTAAATATTATAATAATCGATTGAAACTATAATGATAGTTTTCTTATCATGTCAGAAAATTTGAACTATTTTTTTTATTTTCAACATAGTAGTCCTTAATTATGTCTTATTATTAGTTTTATCAATAAGTCTTGAATGATATTTGATATCCCAGCATATGTGTATTGCACCAAATTTTTAGGATTTTAATGATAATTTTAGAATCGTAGAGTAAAAATGCTAAATAATAGAAAAATAAATAGATTAATAACAAATCAGCATTTCATCAGATTTATTAAAATAGAACAAACAATAGGCAAAAAGCTTTCTTCCTAAATAAAGTATTTAATTTATCTTAAAACAAAAATAATTAAATGAAGATTATTAGATATTATCATATTTTAAATTAGTTGACTGCATGAAAGCAAATGGTAGTTTCCTTTTAGAAATTGATATGGAATAAACACTACAATTATACAAAATAGACAATAAATATCATATATTAGATCCATGTTGGCAAAAAGTGATTTCAATTAAATTTGAAATATTTTTCAGGATTCCAAGTGCACTTGGTAATTATTTTATAATAAAGCCATAAATTACTTTTAAGGAGTGAATTATTTTAAGATAAAAAAGGAATGCATTTCATTATGGCAAACCTTTTAGAATGAAGAAATTTGAAATTAACAAATATAAATTAAATCCTAAATAAACTAAATAAGATAATTTATTTTTATCTAATCTTTAAATTTATAAATTCATCCAGCTCGATCAATTGATATAATTTTAATTTAATCAAAATTTTTTCTATGTAATATTTATATTATTATAATATTTTCTCTCTTATTAGATTGAAAAGAAAGTAAAAATGATAATTTTATGATTAATCTATTCATTGATACTTTATTCGAATATTCTATTTGTACGTTCTAAATTATAGATTGCAAATTTTATGGATATTAATTGAATGAATTCACCAATATATGTGAGGTTATTTGTTGTACATAAATAAAATGATTCTTTATTGATTAATATATTAAATTAATTATGAAAATAGGTATAGAGACGTTTCCTATTATAGGAATCATAAGTTCCTGAAACCAAAACGCCTTGAAAAATGCAATTGTAATACCTAAAATGATCATACAATTCAGGATTATGAGTCATGAAATGATCAAATTTCCATCTTAAATAATTACCAAAAGTCTTATATTTAACCCATATGTATGTATGACTTTCAAAATACACTTAATTTCGATATAATTATTCCTTTTCCTCCTTTTAATTTCTATATATTATGTTCCAACACATACCATAACCTTTAACTTATTTTTGAATCTATAATTAATTGTTTTCATTTTATAAATGAAATTCATTAATCTCCAAAAAAATTAAAAAAAAAACTTCAATTTATAAATGAAATATGAATCGAATCAAATTATCATTCAATTAATAGAACTTTTGATGAAGCTAATCTAAAACAGGAATACAATCCATAATTAGTTTCAAGCGTTAAAGTCTATAAATTCATATATTACTAAATTACTTATGATTAATTCGATTTTAAATTTTCCCATTTTATTATCTACTACTTCAAATCAAAAGTTATTTTAATGATGTCATTTACTTTCAATTTGAATCCCTAAAGGTCATCTATTTTTTACTTTCTCATGATGAGAATATAGATATCCATCCTTACACATTAAATAATATCTATTATAAATAAATGCAATACCCATGACCTATCTCTGAAGTTTATCCTTGATAATCTTTTGAGATAATATCTCTAAAGCATATACCAGAATTAAATTTTTGGAAAAGGTTGATCACAAATCCATACCAGCAAAACATTTTATAGGCCAAAGCTATTTTTCCTTTCTCTAAAATTTATCTGTCTTGTTATTTAAATTTTATTGAAAAAGCTAATTCTTTAGAATAATTTCTCAAGCTTGATTCTAATTCTTTATCTAAGCATATCATTCTCTTTCTAAATTGCTCTATTGTCTAAATTAAGACCTTCCACATTCTTTTTTATTTAATTTTCAATAGAAAACTTCAATAATGAGGATATTGAATGAATTAGTTCATTTCCAAATTATTAATTCCAAAATCTTGGTATTGCTAATGAGGGAAATAAAATAAATTATTAATGAAGCATTGCTTATTATGATTATTCTAAATTTTAATTAAAGGAATTGAAAGAGTCATTAATTATTTAATCAAGTAAATTATCAATTCTCATGAAGAAGGACTAAATATTTTAATTAATGAAATATACTTCAATGCATTACTGCATTTCTAAACAATAAGCTTCCATTTTTTATACAAGATCCTTGCTCGTGAGTTTTTCATTATTTTCTACGATTTCTAAATTGCTACAAATCATTTTGTTTATCAACAATTATAGTATCAAAAAAAATTTGCTTTAATAGCATGAGTCAGAAAGAATTATAAAAAAATAGCAGACTAATCAAAATATAGAAAATATCAAAAAAAAAAAAACTATGCTATAATTAAATTTTTAGGTGTTCTATGGATCAATTTATTCGCTTTATGGTTTCCAAAGGATTCATCCATTAAGTTTGATTGATTCAATATAGTGATTGCTTAAAATTTTTGCAACTCATTACTTATCTAAATTTATTGGGTATTTTTTTGTTATATAATTTATTCAAATATAAAGTTCAGATCTACAAAAAAAGAAAGAATTTATCATATTATTATTGTATAAAATTTTGGTTAAGTTAAATAATCGGCTAAATTTTAATTTTATTCTGCAATATTTTTCCTGCCTTAATCCTTTAATTGTATAAAAATTATTTTTCACTTTTGTATCAAGCTATTCGATCAATTTTCCTTAAAGCTATTTGAAGATAAAATATTAAAATTGGGGAAAGTTATTTATAATCGATTTTTACAAATTTTTATGATGCTTTATGCTTTTTTTTGATCTATTAGATCATTTTAAAATCTAATCCTCAAATATTTTATGAGTTAGTTAAAATTTTAGCAACTTAATTATTGAATTATAAAAAGAACTCAATTATTTTAATTCATATTCATTCTCTTAAAAATCTATTAGAATTAGTGTGTGAAGAAATAAATTATGACAATTTCAAGAATGTTCATATTTTCCTTATTGAATATGAATAGATGATATTAATCTAGGCTAAGAGAAAGAAAAGGAAAAAATATAACTAGAAAACTATGAGATTACTGTAAGAAATTAATGAAAGCTTAAATTCAAAAAAAATTAGAAAATGTCCTTTATTTAATTTGTCTTATTCAAGGTCAAAAAAATATGGATCCTATAAATGTTATACAAGACAGATTATTTTATTTGGTAAAACTATTTATTAATTTTTTAAAGAAATATTTAAATAATCATTAATGACATTAAATCATTATAAAATCACTCACCATCCAATTACAAAAATTAAGAAAGCCTGCAAAAAAAGTCTTTACTAAACAATCCTAATATTAAATGAATATAGAATGGTGTAAAATTTATTCAAAAATTCAAATTGATAATTTTTATCAATTGTTATTATCTTGTATAAAGAAATAAAAAATAAATCTTATTTCTGCCACGTTGTAAAATATTTTATTCATTATATTTTTCTATTAATTAGAAATACTTGATGAATACAGGAAATATCATTATTTTGAAATAAAACATCTAATATTGAAATTATTAAATTTGTTATAATTAGCAGTTAATATATTTATAATTGCAATCATTTCGTTTTTTTCGAATGATCCTATATTATCAAACGTACATTTATATCAATAATATTATTTATCATCATCAATATTTTGAACTTTCATTAAATATGATCGTCTTTGTAAATTTCAATTTGATGATCTATAAAATATCAGACAAAGACCCAAACTAAATACTAGTGATTGGCAAGCAGAAATGAATCGTCTAAATAAAAAATTAATAAATAAATTTATATTTCCCTTTTTTCCTTTTTGTTTGTTTTATGGAAAAGCTATTCTTAATAGAGGATGATCTTGACTAAAAGTAGAATGATACTTCATTTAATTAACTCTCATTCATTATAATCCACAAGTGTTGCAATATTGTACAGAATCACAGATTTAACAGTTGTATAAAATCCAATCCTCTATTAGAATTACAAGATGACACACATTTGAATATTCTCTAATTTTTCCCACTTTATGACCAAATGGGTAAGTAAAGTTTCTAACAAAATAGAGTTTTGCTTTATTATGATAATTTGCAATTACTGACTGTGTAGTAGATTATGTTAGATCATTAATTAATTTGGCTTTATCAATTTCTTCGCCCTATTATTCTAATTGCTCATTTGAAAAAGACATGCATAAGCCTTCCCCCCCATAATGATTAATAAATTACTTATCTTCTTTATTCAGCTATTTTTCACATAAAGCACATTAATCATACAACTCTATATCTTTTAAAATATCTAATTTCTATTTAATTTAATTTTCTAAAATAAACTAATCGATTCCTTTTAATTTTATTGTAAGTGGTTCCATAATTCCATATTATTCTAAATTTTAAGAATAAACCATATATTTTTGAGTTTAACTCCATGAAAAAACTTTTATTCTAAACTGCTGACTATTTCATAACGAAAAATTAATCCATCATCTGAAAGTAATGGAATAGTATCTTTATTTATTCTCCATTTAATTATAGCGTATAAAGTTAAATTTTTTATCTTAAAATTAGCTAAGACCATCTAAGCAATCATGTAAATAGTATTAAATGTTACACATTTTATTTCAATGCAAAAATTCTGTATTTAATTTCAGTTCAAAAATTTGATAGCATGATGATGATGATCAACTAAATGTAATTGAATTTATAACATCTTTTTCCTTTTTAGTGCTAGTGTAAATAGCAATAAAGAAACATATCCAGAACCAAAAACCAGATCCAAAATATCTAAATTATCTAAATTCTAAAAGTGAAGATAGGTTAACTTAAAACCTTCTATTTCTTTTTTCAAAGAAGATATTCTCATATTCTCTACCCGAGGTTAACTTGCTTCCCAATCTAAATCGATTGTAAAAAATTATTTAGGAACATCATTTAATAAAATATCAGTTACATCAAGTGATATTTCATTGTTTATCTTCCAACTTTTAACCTTATTTCTATATATATCAAGAAAGAAAGGCTTTTACCGAGATTAATTTTTGAAGCTCTTCTTAATTTATCTTCTAATTTTTTGAAACATTTATTCTTTAATTTTTATTTCCTATTTAAGTTATTACCTTTCTAGCAGGAACGATCTTAGAGCTCTTTTATTTTTGGTATAATTCAAAATTTTACATAGTATGAGGCCTGTTAAGAAGTAATTTTTCTGCATCTACTAATGAAGTAATTAAATTTTCACTCTTTTAATTATGTTCATAAATGAAAATTTAAAACTTTTTTAAGATTTCTAATAAATCTTATAATTCTTTAAATATTTTAATATAGTTATTAGGGAAATTTAGCTTTTGAAACTTCTGTTAACTCAATTTCTTCATTAATTTTATTAACTCTAGTAATTGACAACATTTTAATCATAGAACAAATAAAATGAAGGATCGCTGTTGTAAAAGAAACAAAAAAGTTTAAATTTTTATTTGAGTTGGGATCATACTTAAGTATATTCTATTATATTTCACTGTAATACATTATAATGTAGTTTTGAATCTAATTAATTTAAAATTAATTTTTCAACACTATTATAAATTATTTAATCATTTGTTGAAATTTCAAGCAATTTTTTTCTTATTCTCCATTATTATTGTTGTATATAAACGAAAGACTATTTGAGTTAAGATAAAATATGATTTAAGATATATTATTATTTAAGAAAAAAATAGTTCGTACTGTTGAACTTTTTTAAATCGTAATCGGATTTGATGAACAGGCTTGATTTCAATCTATTCTGACTAAAATCTATTTATACTTGACGCTATAAATTTAAAAAATCTGCTATATTGTGAGCTACTAACAGGAATGTTAACAATTTCCTCTTGTCTTTTACTCATTATTAGCTTTTTTTGATAAGCTATAAACAATTTTGTCATTTTAACAGACTTCACAGATAAATGCTCTTTTAGAACACGGAATTTCAATCTATAATGATTATTCTATTATATCCAAATCCTTTAGGGTTTTTTGATTGATCATCACCGTATCCATTTGTTTAGCTAAGAAAATAGATTGTTCATAATACTTTATAGCTAGTTTATGGAAATATTCTTTCTCATTAGAACTTTTAAGATTTATTTTAACTTCATATGAAATTTATTTATTTATAGGTCAAAACAATCTTGAATTCTAGATTTTCCTTTTTGTGTTATTTTGAAATAAAATTTGTAAAGTTAATTCTTAATTTTTCTTCAATTAAGTTATAGATTTTGGGTCAGGAATAATCTATGAAACCTTGTCAATATTATTTATTAATGAAAAGCCTTTAAATAATAAGTTAGGGAATCTTCTAATAAATCTATTACTTTAGAATTAATATCTTCACTATCTCCTACTAATTAATATTTTCCATTTCCAACTTCAGGTAATATTTAGACTAAATACTCACTAAAATAATTCCAAATACCTAATGTATAAATTCTAGTTTCAGGTCTTTGATTTTTAGATACCAACTTCATTAATCTTTCAGACTAATCCTCTCCATCTGTTAGTAAAAATGAATTCAGTATTTATGGATTATATTTGTTTTTAAAAATAATTTTCATCATAACTACCTTAGATAATTGATTATAATATATTAGTTCCATCCAAATCTGCACTCATTTCTTGTACTTAATTGCCTAGTTTAATGTTTTTTAATTATACTTTTATGCAATATTGAAAATTTTTTACATCGCTACCAAATGAAATTATGTTAAAAAAACAATTTTCTGGAAGGCTTCTCAGAAACAGAATTAATGATTATTTAGCTTTTTTAAAACTTATTCCTTTCATTGAACCACTGCGATCTATAAAAAAAAGATAAAAATCTTTTAGATTTTTGCCTATAAAGGTATATTTAAACCATTGAGAAATGATTGATAAGCATCTAATAGAAATTCATTAAATTTTGGAATGGTATTAAAGTAGCACAATATCTGATATGTTACAAAGCATCATTATTTGTATGACTTAGAGTTGCAGAAGGGTTATTAATATCGTCGAGTTCAAACATTCTATATGACGCCATATTTTGGGAATCATTTGAATCTAAAGTAACACTTAATTAGTTCTGTTGATTTTATAAATCAATTTATTTCTCCCTCAAATTAATATGAAATTTTAATAGTATCAAGTTTGTTGGAGACTAAGCATTTGTAATAGATTTTCCCATATTTATTAATACATTAATATTTTATTTATAATATAATTATATTGCTTAAATGTTAACATGTTGTTTCACAAAAAAATATTATTAAGCATAATCTTTATAAGTGTTCTTTGATTTATTAACTGTTAAATAACTTTTATCTATAATCAGAAGGAATTCTAATTTTCAAAATTAATTCAGAGAGACTTATAATGGTTGGATGTATTCAAATTAAATTTTTAATGATGTATCAGGCCTCTAACAACCAATTTTTACTTTTTTTATATTTGATATATCTTAATCCCCTTAGCTTATCACCATTATCTTTCCATCTTCAATTCCTTTTTTATATTCTTTTTTTGCTTCTTCTAATTATTTTATTACACCATAAACTTTCTAATCTCCAAGTTCAACAATCATTTTTAGAGACAGCTGAATTTTAATCTATTGTAAATAAGTATTCTAATTCACTTTGATCTTTATTTTATTCAGTTGAATCGATTTGGCATATTTGTACCACTGCTAAACCAGGTTAAACATGAACAATGTATTAAACTTATTTCTATTCAATAGACATTTTAGCATATACTATCATAAGAAATTATTATAGGATATGCTAATTGTTTTATATTATTGTATTCTTTCAAATTTTTTTTTATTTTCTATTTGAGAATTAAACATTTAATTTGGTTTTTTGTAAATCTTAATGAAAATACCATAAGCTGAAAAATAAATTTAAATGAAAAATTATGTAATTCAATTTATAAAAATGAGAGAATAGTTAGATTTTAAAAACGTCATTTTTAAAGGAGAACACTAGTATTAAGTAAAGGTTTAACAATTTTGCAAAAACAAAATATTTTTTGAAAGACCAAGCCTTTTATTGATAATTAAATGAACAGCAACGAACCAATAATGATAATTTTTTCTTAGTTTTTGGTTATATTCGAAACGCAGTAACTAAAAATGTGAATAAGCTGTTGCTGTTTAACTAAATAATGAATCCAATAATCTTTAAAAAATGATAATCAAGCAACAATCAACTCAGGGTACATTCATGATTTGACTATTTTGTAAAATTTCTCATGAATGTAAATTGGAAAAAAATTAAAAAATAATAACTTTAATTTAAAAATTAAAGAAATTTAAAGGAATCTTAAAGCACTAATCATTTATTTGTTGAGGTGAAATTTAGATAAAGTTCCTTAATACTAAATATCTTAATCATTTCGAATCCTAGTACACAAAAACTTATGCATACATCAATTGTTATTTTTTTTCATATTTTTCTTTTTCACTTCCAGTGTGTTTGAACTTGTTTTTTGCTAAAATTTGGAGAATAATACATTAGCTTCAAGATATGGAATTCCCATTTTTTATATCTTTTATGTTGAGAAATTATGTTCATAGATTGGTAAGGCTTTATTTTTAATAAAGGGAGCAAACGTAAAATATGCAAAATGGGTAAGATATTGTATTTTAGACTTTCATTTTTTCTACCTCTATGGATCAAATTTCATTTAATTCTGAAAAATATCTTTATTTTTATTAAATATACACATTACCTCTACCACTAATAAAGAATTAAATTATTATCATTGTAAGAGTGGATATTAATTCTAATAAGGCCCTATAATTATCTGACCACAGACCCTCCTAAATTGAGATTTCTTTAAGGTAAGAAAATCTATCTATGATTCCCATTATTAAACCCTTACAGATACATATGTACTTAAATGAACATCAAGAGATATAGACTGTATTCTAATCCTGAAAGTTTGTAATTAACTTAAATAGTTTTAGTGTAGAATATATAAACTATGGCAATGCATTTAATCTAAATCCTGAAATTTTAAAGCCTAAACTCTTACTAAACAATCAAAATAATTCCATAGATTTAAAAACTTGAAAATTTAAATATTTTTGAAAAAGAAGGATCAATTATGATTTGTTTTAATTGAGATTTTGAATGGTATAAGACGATGAATAAATTCTTCACTGATGTATTGAAAACTAGTTTAAATTCAAAAATTTTAACGTCTTGATTACAAAATCAAATGTAATAAAAAGCTGTTTCATTTGATTTATCTTAATGAGATTAGTTCCTTTAATAAAAGCTCATCCTAATCTTCCAACTATTGATCAAATCAGCAGAGTTATTTTCTAAAGCAACTAGAAGCATTGTTTATACCTAAGTTTAGAGAAATTTGCGCCATAAAATTAATAACTCATAAATTGGATTTTTATAAAACGGCCTGGCTTGTTAAGATATTTTTGTTAAATTATTGAGTTTTTAAAAAAGAAATTTAATAATTAGAACTAGTTACCATAATCTGTGATTTTCTATGAGTTCTAATGAACTTAGTTTTTAGGAATAGATAAAGTATATGGTATTTCTAAATCTGGAATACATTTAGCTCCTTTCTTACTTGATATCTATTTTAAAGAAGTTATTTAAAAATTAATTGTATATGCTTAAAAGAAGTAATTTTCTATATCCTTCAAGTTAATCTTGGTAAAACTTAAGTTTTATGAGTTTAATATGATTTAATAGTTCTGACTCTTAACAAAGCTTTGTACATAATCTCAGTGATTTATAAATATTAATTATTTGATGTATGTAAAATTTCAAGTTAGAAGATATAATTTTCTCCATAAATCTTAATCCTTTCAATAATATCATAATTCTGATGATTAATTAATCTTTTCAGTCTATTATAAAATCTAAATTGAAGAATAATAATCAAAAGTGATTGGTACGTTACTTTAAATATGAAAAATCATTCAATCTAATTGTTTTAACTTTATTCTAGTATAAATTATTTCTAAGATTAACTTTAATGTATCTTTTTTCTTATCTTTTGTTATAAAAATATCTTTTACTATTTATGAATGAATATTACAAAATTATTAATTTTATTGTTAAGACTAATCTCTTTTTTAAATAGTAATAAAATTAAGTAAATCTATCATATAATATCGTAGATGTTTTACAAAAGAATGTTGTGTTAATTAAGTTTTCTTTAAATCAATTATATCGATTGTTATTTTAAACCTGTTCTCTGTTTAGATTATTAATTTAATGTAGTATCATTTCAATTTAAATCTCTATCAATTTTTAATTGATAACAGATATATGATATTTAAATAAATAATCCCTATATACACTAAAATTGAAAAAAGCTTTAAAGAATAGGAGCTTACCTAGCTTTAAGAGTGAAGATTAAGAGTTAAACTAATAAAGACAGAATTAAAAAAAAATATTAGATATTAATTGTATGTATAATTGTTGTTTGATATAGATCAAATCACTTTTTCTATAAATCTTCTAAAAAGCAACATCCTTTAGATTTAAATAAAGGTTTCAAATCTTTTCCTTAATGGTTTATAAATTCTCCTTATAAGATAAGTGTTCCTTATGCTTCCAATATTATTGATTAGGATATAATATGATATGAATGATTAGAGACTAAATAATAATAATTTAATAAATACCTTGCAGAAGATTGTTCTAAAAAAGTGGTGCTTTAAATTAAGCAAGAATATTATTATATTTTTTGTCATCGGATTAAATTTCTTATCCATTCGTAACATTCCATAGATGGATAGAGTTATCATAACTACCAGAAGCTAATGTATTTCCATCAGGAGAAAAAAAGACTGAGTAGACAGTATCACTATGACCATCTAATTTGGCTTTTTATTATCCTGTTTTGACATCCCATAGACGGATAGAAGAATCTAGACTACCAGAAGCTAATTTATTTCCATCAGGAGAGAAACAGACTGACTTAAAATAACTAGTATGACCATCTAATTTGGCTTTTTATAATCCTGTTTTGACATTCCATAGATGGATAGAGTTATCATAACTACCAGGCGCAGGGCAACCTATTTACTTTTCCCCATCTCTGGGAAGGGAGGACC